CTGATAAAATGTTTTTAAAAATTGATTAAAAATAGAAGTCCACAACTGTAAATTAACGAAATATGAGCTTTGTCCTTTGTTATATGTTTACCCATTCAACTACTACACATTGAACTGATATTTGCCAGGCCTGGTTTACAAAGATGACTAAGATATTGTATGGAGACAAAAATGAATCCAGCTAATTATAAGGCAGTGAGCTGACTGCTAAAATAGACAGGTTCACAATGCATGCCTGGAAAAACAGCATTCATCCTTCAAGAGTCCTTCATATTTCTGCAAAGTAATAACAACTAGCATTGATTACTTGTTCCGACCTATTCACTGTGCTAAATGTATCACATGAATGATCTCAACTGATCTTCACAACAACCTTAAGAGGTAGTTCTTATTATTTTCTCCATTTCATAGATGAAGGAACTGAGGCAGAGAGAAGTTAAGCAGTTTTTTTAGGGTTGTGGCAGGACTGGGATTTGAAGACAAGCAATCTGATTTCAGAGCCTGTGATCTTAGGTACTTATACAATTCCACCTCCTGAATCTATTCTGTTTACCTCCCCTTCCTCTTTCCATGCAAAAGCAGAAAACAGTATTTTGTGGTATCATAGCATCCTAGGAATACCTCTATTGGAGATTCTACTGTTTTGGAAGGCAGCTATGCTCACCACTATACCACCAACACTATTCTACTGTTTTGAACTATTATGTTCCAGTGTCTGTCTCCTTTAGAAAAGGATTGCATTATTCTTTTTTAGACTGCATAGCAAGTAGCAGGTGTTCAATAATGTCACCAAGGATAAAATAAGTGATTAAAAATGTGATTATTTCAACCACCTTGAAGGAGGACAAACTGTTCATGGCAAGCAAGCAGGCCAGGCTATAAAAGATGCATTTGTTCTTGTTCAAGAGGCCTCCTGGAGCTTGGGATACCTAGAAAGCAGATATCAACGGAAGGGTTGGAGGGGAGAGGTGAAAGGACTAGCAGAAAGAGAGGCCAGGACTGCTGGAGTTGACAGATTTTCTTTCCTGTATGCGATGGGATGGATTTGAAGGATAGTTATCTGTAGGAAATTCATAGACTGCTCTGCATTGTTCTCACACTTAAAAATGTAACCAGCTGGGCGCGGTGGCTCACGCCTATAATCCCAGCACTTTGGGAGGTCGAGGCGGGCAGATTACCTCAGGTTAGGATTTCAAGATCGGCCTGGCCAACATGGTGAAACCCCATCTCTACTAAAAATACAAAAATTAACCAGGTTTGGTGGTGCGAGCCTGTAATCCCAGCTACTCGGGGGGCTGAGGCAAGAGAATCACTTGAACTCAGAAGGTGGAAGTTGCAGTGAGCCCAGGTCTTGCCACCGCACTCCAGCCTGGGCAACAGAGCGAGACTCCTGCTCAAACAAACAAACAAACAAAAAAAGAAGTGTCTAACCTTAGTATGGCTTAAGTAGTATTTTTGATGCATCCGGGAGCAGAACTCTAGAGAATTTTTTCAAAAGTAACTTTTAAAGAAAATGTCAGCCCTTTATAAAATATCTGCCCAGGTAACTTGGAAACCCTTTCTTTGAGAAAATGAACCACATCCAACATATACTGAGATCGTCAAGTGCACTTTAAGCTCATTTTTGCTGGAAGGGAAATCTCACTTGTACCCTTCTTCAAAACAAACATGTGTACACTCTGGTCTAACTTTTTGCTGCTGTTACCATTAATTTTTTTTTTCCTTTGTGAAGGGAATAGAATTTTATCTGTATTATTTGTAAGGGCTTTTTTTCCCCTGAGATAAATGTGACCTATGTCAGGAACTAGAGTTAATCTGGCCTAACATGGAACAAGGAGGCTGGGGCTCAGAGGCATAAGGGACTTTATTTGTTCCTAAGATCAGTGCTTGAGATATTTTGCAAATGCTGAACCTGATGAATCACCTGGCACTACCCAGATCGATTAACTGGCTCATCTGATCTTGTGGCCCCCACCCAGGAACTGACTCAGTACCAGAGGACAGCTTCCATTCCCTATGATTTCATCTCCTGCCTAACCAATCACCACTCCTGACTCCCTGGCTTCCCCCAACCAACAAGTTGTCCTTAAAAACTCTGATCCCCAAATGCTCAGGGAGCCTACTTTGAGTAATAATAAAACTCCAGTCTCCTGCACAGCCTGCTCTGCATAAATTACTCTTTCTCTATTGTGATTACCCTGTCTTTATAAACTGGCTCTGTCTAGGCATCAGGCAAGGTGAATCCAGTGGGCAGTTACAACTTTAGAATCCTCCCAAGGTGGGAGGATCATTTGAGGACAGGAGTTCGAGACCAGCCTGGGAAACATGGCAAGACCCCATCTCTACTAAATAAATTAATGTGTTGGCAGGACCTTCTGGAAGCTTTAGAGAAAAATCAATTTCCTTGCCTTTTCTAGCTTCTACAGGCCACCTACATTCCTTGGCTAAGGCCTTCTTCCACCTTCAAAACTAGCAATGGCTAGTCAAGTCTTTCTCGTGCTGCATCAGTTGGCCACCGACTCTTCTTCTGCCTCTCTCCTCCACTTTTTTTGTAATTTTTAATTTTGATTTTTTTGAAACAGAGTCTCACTCTGTTGCCCAGACTGGAGTGCAATGGCGCAATCTTGGTTCGCTGCAACTTCCACCTCCAAGGTTCAAGTGATTCTCCCACCTCAGCCTCCCAAGTAGCTGGGCTTACAGGTGTGTGCTACCACACTTGGCTAATTTATATATATATACACAGACACACATATAGACACACACACACACATATATACACACATACACACACACACACACACACACACATATATATATATATATATTTTTTTTTGAGACCAAGTTTCACTCTTGTTGCACAGGCTGGAGTGCAATGGTGCAATCTCGGCTCACGGCAATCTTCACCTCCTGGGTTCAATCTATTCTCCTGCCTCAGCCTCCCGAGTAGGTGGGATTACAGGCATGCGCCACCACACTTGGCTAATTTCATATTTTTAGTAGAGACGGGGTTTCTCCATGTTGGTCAGGGTGGTCTCAAACTCCCAACCTTAGGTGATCCACCCATTTCGGCTTCCCAAAGTGCTGGGATTACAGGAGTGAGCCACCGCACCCGGACAATTTTTATATTTTTAGTGGAGATGGGTCTTCACCATGTTGGCCAGGCTGATCTCAAATTCCTGACCTCAGGTGATCTGCCTGCCTGGGCCTCCGAAAGTGCTGGGATTACAGGTGTGATCCACCACACCCAGCCATAAACACATCTTTAAAAGTGCAAGAGGTCGGACGGTCAGGAGTTTGAGACCAGCCTGGCCAACATGGCGACACCCTGTCTCTACTAAAACTACAAAAATTAGCCAGGCATGGTGGTGCGCGCCTATAGTCCCAGCTTAAGAGGAGGCTGAGGTGGGAGAATTGCTTGAATCTGGGAGGCAGAGGTTCAATAAGCTGAGATTGCACCACTGCACTCCAGCCTGGGCGACAGAGCGAGACTCTATCTCAAAAAAAAAAATGTGTTCACATTGAGCCCACCCAGATAATTCAAATTAATTTCCCTATTTTAAGGACAAATGATTAGCAACTTTAATTCCATCTGTAACCGTAATTCTCCTTTTCCATGTAATATAACATATTCACAGGTTCCGGGGATTCAGCATGTGCTTATCTTTGGTGTGTAATTATTCTGCCTATCACAACTTCCAAAGTTGAACTATATTGTGCAAGATGGACATTCAAGCTACCAACAATGTTGAAAGCTTAGATTTGTACAGGACATTTATAGTCATTACACATTCTTTATGCCTGAAAGGTAAACCTTGTACAGAAAGCATGAATAAATAAATTGGTATCCTTTTTTGTAGGATTCTTGGCTCAGGGCCAAAGGAGCTTTACCGTACTTCTTAGATTCTCACACGTAAAAAACAAAAACAAACAAAAAAACCAAGCCAGGCACAGTGGCTCATGCTTGTAATGTAATGCCAACACTTTGGGAGGCCAAGGTGGGTGGATCGTGTAAGCCCAGCAGGCTGGGCAACATGGCAAAACTCTGTCTCTACAAAAAATACAAAAACTAGCTAGGCATGGTGGCACGTGCCTAGATTCTTAGATTCTCGAAAGAATCTCCAACTCCTTACCTCAGGTGATCCACCTGCCTTGGCCTCCCAAAGAGCTGGGATTACAGGTGTGAGCCACCACACCTGGCCCCTTTTAAAGTTTTTTGTTTGTTTAGAGACAGTCTAGTTCTGTCACCCAGGTTGAAGTGCAGTGGTGAGATCATGGCTTAATGCAGCCTCCAACTCCTTAACTCAAAGTATCCTCCCACTTCAGCCTATGAAGTAGCTTGTACAACTGGCATGCACCACCATACACAGCTATTTATTTTTATTTTTGTAGAGACGAGGTCTGGCTAGGCTGCCCAAGTCTCCAACTCCTAGGCTCATGTGATTCCCCCACCTTGGCCTCCCAAAATGCTAGGATTATAGGCATGAGCCACCTTGCCCAGTCTAAAGTTTAAAAAAACATTTAGTAAAGGAAATTTAAATTAAAAAAAAAAATTAGTTCAAGGCCAGGTGCAGTGGCTCACATCTGTAGTGGATCACTTGAGGCCAGGAGTTTCAGACTAGCTTGGGCAACACTGCAAGACCCTGTCTCTACAAAAAATTTTTTAAAAATTAGCCGGCTGTGATGGCATGAGCCTGTAGTCCCAGCTACTTGGGAGGCTGAAGTGGGAGGATGGCTTGAGCCCTGGAGGTTGAGGTGGCAGTGAGCCGTGATGGTGCCACTGCACTCCAGCCTGGATGACAGAGTGAGACTGTCTCCAAAAAAACTGTTTTAGTTCAAGAGAATGGAAACAGTGGTAGTGAGGAAAAGCAATGTTGTACCCCAAACTTTTCCTCAATAAAGAAGGAAACAAATTGGCACAGTTATATTAGTTCACAAAGGTATTCCGAGTAGAAAAAACAATCTTTTTTTTTTTTTCATTTAATTTTATTCTTTTCTAACAGACTCGTTCAAAAGAAGCTATGACTCTCTCAGCAAAACAGCTCCATCAAGCGTCTCGCCAACCTCTCCCTTGAGGCTCAGTCAAGGGAATGAAAAAAGGAGGCTAGACACCTGCCCCCAACGGAAAAACCAAGAACACACCTGGAAAGCAGCTCAGACAAAGGGAGCCAGGCGGGGAAAACAGTAATTGGAGAGGAGACCGTGCTTCCAGTCTGTTGCTGGTTTACAAGGTAAATCTATTCCTGGAGGAAAGGGGTACAGGAGCAGGACGCGAAAACCCGGGACAGGCTGTGGCAGGCCCGACGTCTTTCAGGCCCAGCTCCTAGCGTCCACGCCCCTCCTTCCAAGACGTTTCCCAGCAGGCGCTGCGCCCAGTTTGGATCAAGTGAGCCGCCTGAGATTGCCAAGCGTCAGGTGCGCATCTCATTAACGCATCTGCTTATTCATGTATTTATTCTTTGTGGGGGGAGGGGATGGAAGGAACGGCGTCTCACTCATTCTGTGGCTCAGGCTGGAGTGCGGGTGGCTCGATCTCGGCTCGCTGCAACCTCCGCCTCCCAGATTCAAGTGATTCTTGTGCCTCAGCCTCCCAAGTAGTTGGGATTACAGGTGCACGCCACCACGCCCGGGTAATTTTTGTATTTTTGGTAGAGACGGCGTTTCACCATGTTGGTCAGGCTGGTCTTGAACCCCTGACCCCCGGTGATCCATCCACCTTGGCCTCCCAAAGTGTAAGGATTACAGGCGTGAGCCACGGCGCCCGGCCTTATGCATTTATTCTTATTGAGCACCTAACATGCTGTAAGCATCAGGGGCAAAAAAGTAAATGAGACATAACAGCACTTAACACACAGCATTTATTTGCACGGGTGTTGGCTTTCTAGCCCTCCAGCAACTGCTTCTGGGTAGGGGCCCTCTTTCGTTTTTGCGTCCTCCGAGTCTAGCACAGTGCCTGGCACGGACTAGGTGATTTGTTAACAAAGGAACAACTTTAAAACGTGTTTTTGATAGGGAGCTCGGTTCTCAAACCTGTGGCCCTAAGTCGGGGTAGGGGAGGCGGGAGAATGGGGTGGACAGACAGACACAAGGAGAATGGGAAACGTGTTTGTATTAGGAGTGCTCACAGCAATCCACAGCTTCCCTGTGTTCCTCGTTCTCAAATAATAGTAGGGGAGTCGAGGGCGGGGTGGGGCAGCCCTCCCCGCGCGCAGGAGGGCTGGGTTTGGGAGCCTCAGCCGGGGGTTCTCACTGAGCTCCGGAGCCCGCCTGCCCACCTGCGCCGCTCACCAGGTCAATGGCCACGACGTCCCGCAGAGCCACTACCCGCCGGATGGACTTGGGCGGGTTCTCGGTTAGGTAGATGAGCCGGTCGCTCAGCACCACGTACTTGAGGGTGTGGTTCTCCGAGTTGGACACCACGATGCATGGCTCATAG